TGTACGTGTAGCTTGTTGTACACTCTTCATGTATTTACAAACAGTAGGGATTATCAATGTATAATTCCGTATGCAAAAACTAATAAAATCCCGTCGGCAATGTAAACCGCCTTAAACAATAAAAAAAAAAAAAAAAAAAAAGAAAAACTTCAAAAAAGATTTATTAATTATTAAAGAATATTTTGAATAACAAATTAAATAAATTTGTAAAATTTTAATAGCTAAATATAAATTAAAAGAAAAAATTATAATTTAACAAAATTAATATTATTAAATTTATAAATAAGATTTAGTAATCTTAATATAGTAGTTAGTCTACCAAACTGCTATATAAGAGGTCTAATATTCAAATTCTGCTTTTTATGAATTTGAATAATTATTTAGATCTTTGTATTCAAATTACAATAAATTCTGTTTGTTTTTAGAGGTTGTAATTCTGTAAATCATATTATACTAATATTTATTAAATATTAGAAGTATAATATAATTTTACATAAATAAATCTTAATAGGATCTATAAGTAGCAGATCTGTATAGTAGAAATTCTGAGTTAGATATAGTAGTATAGATTTTAATAGTTATGCTAGTTAATACTTGATTTGAAAAAGAAGTTTATATATAAAAAATGTAGTTCTAGTAAGTACAAGTAAGTTTGTTATACAAATAGCAATACTAACTTAGTTTAGTAGCTAAATGAATTAAGAGAATTTATCTTATGAAATATTTAGAAATATAGAAAACTAATTTGATAAAGAGCTATTAAAAAAACTAAATTTGTACTAATACCTATAAAAATGTATGCTAGTTTAATTAGAATATAGTATAATATAGTTAGAGTTATTTGCAAGCTTTCTTCTAAATAGAAATAACAAAGTATTTTGTGATAGAACTCTTTTAACTAAGACAATTTAAGCTATAAGTTGGTTTAAATAGTTCTCAAATAAAGTAGTACAGGATTAGTATAGATTAAATATTAGGTTAAAATTGAGTTGCATAAAGATATTAAAAGGTTTAAATAGAGTATCTATAAGTAGATACTAGGTATAGAAATTAGTAGATAATCTATATGATAAAGTCTTTAAATAAATAATAAATAAAGTTATATATATAGCTAATTATACTCTTACTAACTAATATAAATTTAAGAATAATACTTAATAAAATAATTTATGGATAGCTTGTTAAAAAATAAAAAAAAAATTCATAAATTGCTTAAATAGCTTATAAAAATATCAAGTTATTAAATTAGCTAATAATTTAAATATTTTGTATAAATAAAAAGAAAAAAATTTATTATAGTGAATAAGTTCTTAAAATATTTTATACAGTTTGTAAATAAATTGTATAATTACTACTTAGTATATATTATATTCATATTCTAATTAAAAATTCTTCTAAACTATTATACTATTATAATATACAACCTAGTATACATTTTCTGAATATATAGTTATTAGTAATTATTTAATTAATAATTTATTTCTTTTTAAGTTTCAAATTTTGTTTTTTTCTAATATATTAAAAAAGTTATTTATAATATTACTTTTTGTTGTATTTGAAATAATAATTATTATTTTTTTATTTGTTTTTTTTAAATTTGTTTTTTTTTGAATGTTAAAAAAGGTTTATTTTGCTAATAGTATTTTATTAATTCAAATACAGAGTTACAATATAAGTAATTCTTGCTATTAAAGTTATATAAAGAATATACAACTAGTTATATATCAATTTTATTTATTATCTATTAAAGTAGTTTGCTACATAAACAATTTAATTATCTAAGTAGTTCTATACAAACTGCTATATTTGTAACCTATTTGTAAGTTACCTATTTAAATACTTTGTTTTTGAATTTGTTATTAGTATAAAAGTAGTATTTATTATAGTTTTTGTTATTAATAATTTAATATATTTATTTTTAGTAGTTATTTTTTTAAGTTAAATACTATTAAGTCTTTCTAAACTAATATTATTAAAACTAATCAAAATTTGGCTACAAAACATATTAGTTTAGAAAGAATCAACAGTATTTAATATTTTTTTCTTTTTAAATACTACTATTATTATAATTATTATTTTATATATAAATATTTCTATAAAAAGTAATTTTTGCTATAAAAAAGAATATATTATCTAATAATATATTACAGCAACTAGTTCCTTGACTTTTATATAATAATAATTCTAAAATTGCATTCTTAAGAATTTTTTTAATTATTTTGTATAGCAAATTAATATTATTACTATTAATATTAATAAAAAAGATTCTTTATTATTACAAAGGTTAAGTTAATTATTATTTGTTCTTGAAAATTTAGTTGTTTTAAATAGTTGGTATTGTTTATTCAAATAAGTTTGAAGTATAATTTGATAGTAGTATATTGTAAGCAGTTGTTGATTGATTCTTTAATTTGTTATATCTGTGTTTTTCTATAATTATTGTTAATATTAAACTAATTATTAAAACTATTATAGTTATTACTTCTATTATTAATATTGTTGTTGCATTGATATCTTATAGGTATGTTGGTTATATGTAGTAGTTGTTCTAGGTAGTGTTGCAGTTACTGTTACTTCAGGTAAGTCTAAGGTTATTTCTTAAGTAATATGGATAGTTTGAAGAATTATTATTATTGTTGTTGAGTTTAATTGCATTCGTATTCAGTATAATAGTTGTGCTTATGTCTTGAATATCAATATAGATATCTTCTGGGTGATCAAGTCCTTTGTATATTGGTGTTAAGGTGTTTAGTTGTTCCTATAACTATCATTAATACAATTGATAAGTTACTATTAATACTTTAGAATAGATATTGTTTTCAGTATTAAATAATACAATGCGTATGAATAGTTTATTTAACAAGATGAAACAGTTTATATTTAATATGTAATGTTCGATAGTAGGTTTGGGTTACTATACTATAAGGTGGATAGGTTCGTAACTTCTTTACTCCTACATTGTTTAAATAATAAGAGATAGATAAAGTCTCTATACTACGAGTTATGTTATATAAGTTCAGTGGATATATCTGACTCTTAAATATTATAATTGTTTGCACTCACTTATTTATAAAGATATCAAGGTTGGATAAATTCCTTTGATATATACTATTGTATGGGTATGTTTGTTATATGAGGTAGTTATTATTATGTTTGTTAAGGGTACTAAGGCGACTTGAAATTAAAACCTCGTTTAACGTTATCCTCCCTCCACTTAGGCCACACCAAGTTAAAACTATGTTTAACATAACCCCCCCCCTCTTTTGAGCCTCAAATAGAAGGGGTAATAAA